TCAGAATCTCCCACACATATTCTTCACAGCTACAGAGAAAATTAACAATCTTTGGTTCCTTTGGCTGTGTAAGTCTTCTCTGACAGACCTGGCTTTGTACCCGACCCGCTTTGTCAAGGTGGGTCTGACTCTAAGTGTTGGTCTGAAACAATGAAGGGTGGCAGTAGGGCACCTGAGGGACAAGGCAGTCACCACGTCTTCAAGCAAAGGGGAAATGGCCTTATGAGGGAAGGGAGGAGAGGCTGCTGTGTCTAGAAAGGAGGGCTCAGAGGGAATAGGGGAGGGGAAACAGTTGAATCCTCTACATTCTCTCATTGCAGTTCTCAGACTCCCATTCGTTCCCCATCGGCACCCTAACTTTCACATAAGACAGCCAGCAAAACGACGAACTTCAGCTGACGCTGTGCTTTGGTAAACACGGGATAAACTCTGTTTTTGAACTTTGGCTCTCAGTAAGGAGGCTCAAGAGATGAAGTAACAGGGTCTCTGAGTTTCAATCCATGCCTTGAGTCAAGATTTGAGTTTGTCCTTTTCCTTCCTCAGGCTGCATTGTTCTGTTGGAAGCAGTCACCCCAACCCCCATGTTCGCTCATGTTCTTGGTGCCATTCATTTATTATGACCACTTTGTCCCCAGAAATCTTGCCTTGAGTGGGCACTTTATTCCCAGGGACCACAGATGATCATTGAAGTAGCTGTTTCTATTACTGCATGATAGGAATTCTGCCCCTTACTATTTACTAACTGGGTTTTTACTGTCTTCAGCCCCCCTGAGCCAGACAACTAACCCAGATTCTTCCATTTCCTGAGGGACTGTTGTCTTCGGCTCACTCACTGGCCCCAATTTCTGCACCAGACAGTGTTCTTGGTTGCAAAGAACAGAAGTAAGAAATGTGCTTATTGGAACATTAGTATGTAGCTTGGGGAATTTATGTGGCCAAGACTACAGTTAAATCATGCAATGGTTCAAGTCTAATTGGTTGCTTCACCCACGACCAGTGCCACCACCAGTATCAGCCTTGGACACTGATGCCACAGCCAGCACCACTGCACCAAGACACAAGACGCCACTGCCACCTCTTACCACCATCGTCAGAATGAATTTCTAAATAATTCCCTGCTTTATGCAACACTCATTCCACATTCAAATATCTCACTGGTCAAGCTTAGGTCACAAGCCCATGTTCTAACTGCCAGAGAACCCGAAGGGGAACTCGATGCCTCCATCCAGCTTCCATGATGGGAGGTGAAGCTGGGATTCCACCATCTTAAGATTTCCCAAAATGAGATTGGATATTTGTATACTTGGCAGCGAAAAGCAACAGATTACCTGATAGGTCTGTTCTATTAGAGAAAAATCAGAAAAATTAGTCTGTTAAGTAATCATCCTAGGAATTTTAGTAGAGGTGGTGATAGTACCAAATATTGTTTAAGTGTTGAGAAAGTATAAGCAATATTGATGATCGTTGTGGAAATTGTCCATGCACTAGAGATATTGGGAATGGTGGCCATATCACTTGTGTATGGAATTCCTAGAATGAGGGTACTGGGGAAAATTTGGTGTTGACAAAATAAATCCCAGTAGCGGGCTGTTGGTTACTTATTGAACATCTATCCTCTGCCCTTTTTCCTTTCTAACACACTCCTTTTTTGTTCCCATAGTCAGTATGAGTCAGGGAAGAGTGACCCATCCCAGCACTATGGGTAGATCCTGTGTAGTCGAAGGCAATCAGAGCAATCCCATCCCCCACCAACCCCCAATGTGTGAATGACACCATTCTGATCAACAAGACAGTGAGGGAAAATCTGCTAGGGGCTCCCGGGAAAGAGTCCCTAGCATCTAAGAAAGAGACACAGGAAAGATTATCTCTCTTTTTGCTCCGGACCTTCCAATTCTGGTCCATTCCCTACTTTCAGCCTGAGTTAGGCAGAGAAGAGAACTGGTAAGAACCTGGGCTCTTGATGACGTCACTGAGCTACTGACTTTCTCATTCCTAGAGGCTGATCTGTCTCCGGACTTTTTATAAGATAATACAAATGCTAATGTTTAACCAGTTTGAATCATGATTTCCATAATTTGCAGCCAAAACATCCTAAGTGACATATACCTAAGGAGCCAGTTGTAGGTGAGGTAGGGTTCATTTGGCTACTTAACACCAATACCACTTGGCTTTTATGCTCTTGGTTCCCAAAGGTGCTCCCTCGCCGCCAGGCTTCCCCCCCTCAAACCTCATGCCCACCGGGCATCCACCCCCTCACCTTCAGGGCATTTCTCCTCCTCCAGTCCCCTGCACAGCCCTGTGCATGTTTGTCTACCTTCCCAGGCTGGTATTCCTTCTCCCTACGGCTTGTTGTCCAAAACCCCCTCAGTCCTCCCAGTGAACTGGAATACCCACCCAGAGGAGGCTGCAGATTCGTAAGAAGGAAAACCACAAATGCCCTGGTGGTCTCTGACCCCACATCCGAACGCCTCCCTGGGTACCCAGAATAGCTGCATGGGGTAGTGGTGTCACAGAGGGCTGAGTTCCTTCCTTGCGGGGACTGAGCAGCACACACCCAGTGCCAAATGGGTGAGCTCATGTTTATTGCTTGCTGTGTGGCCCCACATAGGTCACTCACCCTCTTGAGCTTCAATTTCCTGTCTGCTTTCACTTCCTTACACAATCTTCCTTGGGAGGGTCCTATGGGCTGCCTGTTGTGAAATGCCTTTGTACATAGCAGAGCCTCCTGCAAGTGGGGCCAGGGGCCTCTGGATGTCATGAGACCTTCTGGAGTCCCCTGGAAGGGCCCTGGCCTCGCCACCTCCTGACAGCTCTCTGCACTTATCATAGAGTTGCTTTTGGATTCCTGCATGCTAATGGGTTCACCTGTGTCAACATGATGTTTCTAGGCAGTTATAAGCTCTTTAGGAAAAGGGGTCTTTGCTATGTCGGTAGCTGTCAGTAGTGCATGGTGGGCACACAAAGCCTTGCTGACTGTTGGGTCCTTCACCATCATCATGACCACCACCAACCCTCTCCTCAGATAACCTGGCCAGAGAGAGGCCAGGAGTCTGCCCGGGACCAGGGACAGGGAAAACCCTTTGAAAGGTTGACCCTTGCCCATAGTTTCCTAGTCTGTATATCACCCTAAAGCTAATATATCTGTAATTAATATACTTTCATAATGTCCCTAAAGCCACACACGTCACACCCCCGGCCCTGATCTTCTTCCTTCAGTGACTCCAGCCTGCACTGCTGCACCCCCAAAATGCCTGGATGGGGGAAGGAGGCATGACGGGGCATGGCGGGCTGAGGGGCCTCTAACGGCCTACGTTCCCTGACAGGTTGCCTCATAGCCCGCCATGCAGCACGCCACAGACCACCAGCTCCATGCCCCTGCCCACTTACCACTCCTCCCCACACACCTGCAGGCCGTTCAACTGAGTGCTGCCTCTTCACCTGGGGCCTGGGGCTAAGTATAGGCCACCAAGTGCACAGCCACAAGCCATGCCCCTTCCTCTGCACCTGCAGGTCCAGCGTCATCCCTATAGCACCCCAAAAGCAGGAAGAGGTCACAGCCTGGGTGTCCAACCATTTGGAAGCCCCATTCTCTGCAAAGGGAGGGAGATAAGGACAGAGGCCAGCCACCTGAAGCCCTGCCTGAGGCCAGCACACACAGGGACGGCAGGGCCAGGTCTCACTCACCTGTCGTCGGCGTTGTCACTGTAGCAGTCACCCAGAGCCAGAGAGCCAGTGGCAGGATCTGGATCACCAGCTTCTCCCAGAGAGTGCAGGCCTGGCTGCAGGGTCTTCCTCATCAGGAGGGATCAAGAAATGAGCACCTCCCAGGGAGGAATCAGCTATAAAAAGGACGCTGGAGACCTTTCCCTTGGGGAAGGACAGCACCTGGCCCAGGGTGGGGGTACAGCAATGGGGCTTGGTGGGTGGCGCATGATGACCAACGGGAATTGGTCAAAGGGCAGCCTGTCAACCCCACTCCCCTCTAACTTCAGGAGAGCTGACCACCCTTCAGCGAGGGTCTCCCCAGCAGAAGCCTGAGCCATGGACGGGTCACGGCAAGAGGGAGGGACAGGCGGCTGGAGTTGTAAGTGTGTGAAGGCTGGCTTCCAAGAAGCCAGGGCCAAGAAGTACCAGGGAGAGGGTGATGATGGAGGGAGGGGTGAAAGAGCCCTGGAAGGAGCAGCCAGCAACAGGCCAGGCTGAGGGAAGGACCCTCCGGCCCCACCCATACCCCCCAGAGGAGCCTCTTTCTTCCAGACTTCCTTCTCCAACATCTGTCTCAAGCTGCCACATGCCAAATTTCTAGTGCCTTGCCCTGGGCCTCGGACCACCAGCCCTTCTCCTGGGTGGGGCTCACACCTGAGGCTTTATGATCCTGGTCTCCTCCCCGGCCACTGCCAGTTCCTTTCCTGTCCTGGACAAAGGTCCCAGGGGCCTTTCCCAAATTCCCACCCAAAGAACCTCACTCCATCGGCCCCAACCTCCTTCAGCTCGAGGCCGGCAGCCCTGGCTGCCCACAACAGTGGGACCAGGAGAGCCCGAAGCCTGGGCATGCAGGCCCTGCTGCAAGTGTGTGTCTGACCCCGGGGCCTGGGGAGGTCAAGGCCTTTGGAGAGACCCAGCATAGCCATCAACAACAATGGCAGCTGACCCAGCCTGGGCCACCCACCTCCCTGACCCAGCCCTGAGCTCCTGACATCAAGGGGGAAGGGCGCGGATGACAAACCCAAGAGGGCTTCCCCTTCTGCTGATCAAGAGCCCCTCCTGCTCGCACCTACTCCCTAAGAATCTGGGCCCCCCAATCTCTATGCTCCCTACGAAGACAGCAATGATCCCTGAGACCTGCCCATAGACCCCTTCCTTCCTCGCTGCGAGAAACTGGTGCTCCCGGACCCCCCGCAACAGCTGCTCTGGATGTCCCTGTTCTCAACTGAGCAGAGACACCAGCAAGTGAGAAGGAGAAAGACACAGAGCAGCATCGTTTACAATAAATGCTATATTGTGTTCACATGGGAGAATTGGAGACTCGCAGACTTCCTGTCCCCAAATGAGACCTTCCTGTGAAGGAGGCTGAGGGCTTCTGGGCTGAGAGGTTACTGCAGGGATGGGGTGAGACCCGGGAGAGGAAGGGAGAGGAGGCGCTGGGAAGGGGGTGAGAAGTGGGGGTGAGGCAGTAAGGGAGAGGGAGATAGGAAAAGAGGAAGAGGGGGCTAAGGGAGCTTCCTCACCTCAGGGTCCAACTTCCCACATCCTTGAGGACCTGGAGAAACCCACACCCCACATCCCACCTCCATCCACGGGGATCCAGGGCCCTTGGGGGAGAGGAAGGGATGGAGCCTCAGAAGGGGGAACTAGGGACTGGGAAGTACCAGCTAGGGGTCCAATGTGGCAGAAGGCATCTGTACCCAGCTAGGGACAGGGGTCAGGAAGAGGGAGCAGGACTTAGGACTGGGACACTGGGATGGGGGTTAAGGATTTAGGGTGGAGGGAGCAAGGATGGGAAAGGGGAGAAAACAGAAACAGGGAGAGATGTAGGCCTGGGAGCTGGATAGGGGAGTGATTTAAGAAGGGGGTTTAGACGGGGAGAAGATATAAGGAATGCGGGAAGGGTCCCCCAGGGAGTTACCTTAGCAGAGGGTAGGAGGCAGGGATGGGCTGATGGCTGGCGACAGGTGTTGGGGGGCAGGTAGTAGGGATGCGCACAGGGAACAAGAGACTGAGGCCTGAGATGGGCAAAGGATGTGGGGACTGGGGATCTGAGAGAGGCCACATAAGATGAGGGCTGACACAGGAAGGTGCATTGGGACAGAGGTCGAAGCGACCACATCTGGTTTGCACAATGACTGTTCAAGGTATCAGGACAAGTATGCTATACACATTTTACAAGTTCAGAAAAGCTACTGAGCTGCCCAAGGTCCCACAGTGGAAGATCCTGGATTTGACCTGGGTCTGCAGGTGGGTTTCACCAAAGTTGAGAGCGTGCCGGTCTGGGGACAGTCTGATTTTGCCCAAGGATTCCAGGAGGCTGAGCTGCACGCGTCCTTGGCCATCTCTTGAAATGGATGCAGAGCAGATGCTTCCTTCCCGCTGTCCAGGGCAGGTGGACAGGGTAGGGCAGGGCTCACATCGAGGACAAGTCCACCTCAGGTCTCTGGGTGTGCACCTGCCACAGAGCACATGAGAGGGAGTCAGAACAGGAGCCACCCCCCTCAGGCTGGCTGGGAGTTCACTGCCTCCTGGTCCCAGCCCAGCCGCCTGCCCTGGTGGGTGGGTGGGGCAACTGGAGCTGGACCTGGGAGAACTTACCATCCCCCCTTTGCCCTCTCACCCTCACATTGGTGTCCACCTTCTCCAAGGCCACCTGGAAGTTTTCATCCTTGACTAGAGAGTGAGAAAAGAGGAGGGGAGAGAAGAGGGAGAGGGAAGAAACATGAGGCAGGCACGGCTTCAGGGGGCTTCTGTGCCCCCATGTGCCCTGCCAGGACAGCCTGTGCAGGACCTGGACTTCCCCAGGAGGGTCACGGGGAAGAGGCGACGCCAGCGCCCTGGCATGAGGTATGTGTCTGTCCTGGCCAAGGAAGGTCACCTGGTACTGCCCAGGCTAGGGTGATGCCCAGGGAAACCCCTGCCACTCTTGCCCAGGAGGCAGGACTCACAAGGTCGGTCATCCTGGAAGCCCAAGTTGGAAAAAGTCCCCGCGGTGTCCTCATCCCATACCTCGAACCATCTCTTGTCATAGTCCCAGGACCTGGGTGGGGCCACCGTGGCGTCAGGGCAGGGCCTTCGTGTCTGTGACCCCTTTGCCGCCCTCAGCCCCCGCCCCAGGGTGCTCACCGGGCTCCGCCTGGGCCGCCCCTCCTCCGCGACCTCCTGAAGATGTGGGTCCCCGCCACCAGGAGCAGCAGCAGCAGCAGCACCCCGGCCCCGGCCAGGCCCCCGATCAGCGCCCTCCACTGGATGGCCACCTCGCAGCGTGGGCCCAAGAACCAGTGCGTGTCCGTGGAGAAGCAGCTGGGGAGGGGGTCACAGGTCAGGACCCTGCCACCTCCCCTCCCAGCCCTGTCAACTCGCTCAACTGGACTCAGCCAGGGCTGGCAGCGGGGCGGGGCTCCCCATGGGGCGAGTGGGCGGGGCTCCCACGTGTGGGCGGGGCCTCACCTGCACTCGGGACCGCTCTTCTGCACAAAGCACCAGCCCTGGTTACAGTCGATGGCGCCTTCCACGTCTGATGTGCACTTGCTGACACAGCGGAGCCGCTTCTCCTCCACCAAGGGGAAGTAGTAATCCTCATAGCCCTTTGGAGCAGCGCGATAGCAGATGGCTTTGGAGAGAGGAGGGGGGTTGCACAGAGACTACTCAGGAGCCTGGTTATGGGGACTCTGAAAATGGATGGGGAGGATTCCATTTCCGAGGGTGGGGTGTTGTGGGGTAGACCGAGGGATCGGAAGTGGCCAAGGAAGACCCCCAGGACTCTCACCCTCTCCTCACCCTGCATGCCAGTGCTCAGGTGGAAGCTGTTAACAGGGCCAGCAAGACATGACTTGCCTCCCCAAAAGGTCTCCCATTCTCCCCAGAGAATTTCAGTGGGCAGATGTCCCTGGGGAGAGGGGTCATGGCCCCCTGGGGCCACTCAGTCCTTAGTCCCCCACTCACCTTTTGGGGTCAGCTCCGTGCTGGTGTCGTTTTTCACCATGATGGAGTCAGGCTTAAAACACAGGTCTGGGGCACAGAGGCACAAGTGGAATTGGGGTGGGTCAAGGGGTCCGGGCCAGGGAAGCAAGGCAGGCATGGGGGAGGGTAGAAAGGGCTCATCTTCCCCAAATAATCAGGGGTCCTCAGCCATCCTGGAGACCTTGAGCAGAACTGTCAGGGGGGCTCTTCCCCAGCACCCAAATTCTGGCAAACCCCTCCTTAGCCCCATCCTTGACCCAGTTGGCTGTGAACCTGTGCCTCTTCTCCCAACCTGCCAGAGATACCACAGGGCTGCCACCTGAGCCCAGAAGGCTCCTGTCTGTGCTGGAGTAGGCTGGGATGTTGGCTGTGGATCACACCCCTCCTTCCAGCCCAAGGCCCCTAGCCTCGGCTCACTCCGGTTTTTCTGGCAGCTGTCCACGTCCTGGCTGACATTCTGAAGCTTGCCTTTCAGGACCATCTTCACCGTCTCATAGTTTGTCTCCAGCTGGGAGCGGAAGGGCAACTCCAGCAGGACCACATAGTCCACCACGATGCTGCCATTCCTGAAGGGGTCAAGTGGTTAGGGGCCTTACAGGCCTCCCAGGCCTGGGGCACAGAGGTTCTAGAAGGGCACATCCAGGGCCAATCATAGGTGCTTAGGTGTAGAGGGGAAGGGGGCAAAGGCAACGACTTGGGATTCCAGGTACATTATTTTCAGAAGGGGCTGCCAGCATACCTGACATCGTCAGCCTGGGAAGGCAGGACTAGGAATGATTGGCATTCTCTTGCTTTGCCTGAAGCCATTACCAAACCAGGCCCTCCTAGGTTCTCTGCCTCGCTCATGCTGACCCACTAAGCAGACCAGGTGCCAGCCAGAATGAGACCAGCTACAGTCCAGACACCAGACTTCCCACCAGCCCTCAGGTACCACTTCCCTGCATGCAATCTCTCTCCTTCTGACGTGCTTAGAGAGGAGGGGTGGTGCCCTCCTTCAGAGAAATGGCTCCAGAAAATGATCGCTAAAGTCCCCACACTGCCTCCACCCCTCCCTTTATGAAGTCTGATGATTCCAAAAGCAAGAGATGGCTTCTCCAGCCTCTCTTTTCCCCCCTTCCTCCACCTCACTCTGTCTCCACAGCCTCAGAAGGGTCTCCTACCTCAGAGACAGGATCTCCACATCCTTGAACCCCTGCACATTTTGGTAAATCTTCTGCATCTGAAAAGGCAAAAGTTGCTGGGCTCACGTCTGAACCTCCAGAGCTGAGGGCAACCAGAGGAGGACCTTTGAGTTCCCTCCACTCCACCCTCACCTGACTGCGGAAGATGTTGCTGAAATCCTTGTAGGCCTTGGAAGTGTTGTCATGGAGATCCGGGAAGAACTCCTGGTCGACAGCCACCTCCATGCCCACTTCAGCGTCCACAGTTTCTGCACACAGCATGCCCTGCTCTGGTCACTTCACCATTCTTCCTGTCTGACATCACCCCCACCACCCTGACCTGAAGGCTCCTTCCATGCACCCTCTCCGTGTTCCCAAGGACTGATTGAAGAGCAGGAGGGAGAAAGGTAGGAATTCTGGGATGACTTGTCCCGAGAAGAGGGAAAGAATGGAAGTTAGGGTTCTCTCATTGTCTGCCGCAGTGGGAGGCGAATAATGGCCCCCACCGATACCTAGGTCTCAATCCCCAGAACCTGTGACTATGTTCTGCTAGATGCAGGAGGAATCAAGGTTCGGGTGGAATGAAGATTGCTGATCAGCTGACGTTAATGTGGGAAAATTAATGTGGACTATGGGCAAATGAATGTGCACCCAGGTGGACCCAATGTAATCACGAGGGTCCTTAACAGTGGAAGACAGAGGCAAAAAGAGTCAGAATGAGTCAGGTGAAGACATGACTAGAAGAGAAAGGCACAGAGATGCAATGCTGCTGGCTTTGAAGATGGAGAGAGGGGAGCTCGAGACAAGGAATGTGGGAGGCACCAGAGCCTGGATAGGGCACAGAAATGGATTCCCTCCCGGAGCCTCCAGAAAGGAGCACAGCCCTGCCGACACCTTGATTTAGCCCAGCAAGACCATGTCAGATTCTAATCTGGAGAACTGTAAGATGAGACATTTGTGTTGTTACAGTTGCGAAGTTTGTGGTAATTTGTGACAGCAGCAATTAAAAACAATTACAGCTCCAAGCAACCCTGACCAGGAGTGTGGCCCCAGCCGTGTGTGAAGGTGATGGTGGAGAGGGGGTGTGGGGTAGCAGAGGGCATGAGAGCGAAGACAGGAATGGAGGATGTGGGCACTATGGCATGGGTGCCTCCACACGGACCACAGGGCTGGGCCCAGGGAGAGTCAGTGACAGCCAGGAGACAGTGCAGAGGACAGGGCCCCAGAAACTCACCCAAATCCATCTGTTCTACTGCAAACTGACAGCGGATGCCATAGAAGGTGCTGGGGCAGACACACTTGAGGCCATCCCATCTACCCCCGTTCTGGCAAACGCTGTCCTGGCGCTCACAGTGGTCCCCAGAGAACCCCGGGGGACAGAGGCAGTGGTTCTGAATCCAGGTGCCATCATTCTCACAGGTGCCTGGGCAGCACGAGAAGAAAGGGAAGTTCACGATGGGGCCTGACCTTGATGACACAGGAATTTAGTAGGAGAGGGAACAGGGAGGTAGGAGGTCCAACCTGGGGTGGTGTTTATCCGAGCAGTGCTCAAAGTTGTGGTCATCTGAGTAGTGGAAGAAGTTGTCCTTGGTGACATAAGGGTGCTGGGAGTTTGAGGGGTGGTCACCAGTGTTCTTGGAGTGTGGGTAGTGGGTGAGGTGGAGCCAGTCAAGTTGTTTGAAGTTGTCACGGCAGTTGGAACGCTGCTGCTTGGTTCGGTGGTCAGTGGGAGGCTAGTGAAGCCAGGCGTACGTGGCGTACTTACAGAGTTGGTGCTCATCCAAGTCCCACCAGGGGGTCTTTGTGTGCTTGTCAAAACTGTGTTGATGGGGACAGTCCCAATGCTGATAGAACTAGGAGCATCACTTATGAGGTTAGTGGGACCAGTTTCGAGAATCGAAGTAGAAGCATCCATTGGTGTAGGAAAGACAGTAGTCATACTGGTGGGTCCAGGAAGGGTGATCTTCTCAGTGGTAGAGGGAATGACTAATAATGAGATGCTGGGCGTAAAGGTAACTTTGCTAGTTGGATCCATTTCCACACATGGAGTAGTGGAAGAAGCAGGCACTGTCGTAACTGATATACTTTCTGGACATGGGGCGGTGGAAGAACTAAAGATAGTAGGAGTGATGGTTGTTTCGGTAAGAATAGGGATCACAGGAGTCTGGGGTGTAGAAAAGCTTGTAGTAGCAGACAAAGAGGGAGTAGCAAAAGTGGTGACGGGAGAAGACCTTGTATTTTCTGTACTGGAGATGGGCGGGGATGGAGGAAGAGAGCTAGGGGTGAACTCTGAACTTACTCTGCTGGAAGACAGAATAGAGGATGTTTTTACTGTGGAGGCGGAAGAAAGGATGATGGTACTGAAGGGGGTACTTATGGCATTTGTACGCATATTCAAGTTAGAAGAGGATGGTGTGGGAGAAACACTAGAAGGAATCTGTGGTGTTGTCGAGGTGGCTGTTGTTAGAACGCGTACAGTAGCAGTAGTGTCTAAGTCTGTAGTTGAGGCACTGGCAGAATTACCAGTGACCAAGGTGGCAGGGGTTGAGGTGTCAGTGGGAGTGCTACTTTCAGCTGTGGCCAGGGTGACAGTGGTAGTGGGAGATGTCAGGGGGGATGTGGCATGGGTTGTGGGCAGCGTGGTAACCAGGATGGATGGACGGGTAGTGCTGGCGGTCAAAGGGAAGTCTGGTTCTGTGGTTGGGGGAGGTGGAGATGATATAAGCTCATTTGTGTGTGATGTCAGATTGTTGATGATCATGGGGGTAGAGGTGGTGGATGTTGGTGAAGAGACGACATTCGTGGGAGTGACTGATGGCGTAAGAGGGGGAAGTGCCGTGGTGCCTGTAGTGGGAGCTTGTGTGAGAAGGTAACTGGTGGGCGTAAGGGTGATTCTCCCAGTGTTTGTGGCATGAGCGGTTCTGTGGGTCATTGTGGCTGTGTGCATCGTGGTTGGAGTGGAGGAAGGTGGTCCTGTGGTGGTGGAGGAGGTGAAGTTATGGGTCATAGTGGGTACCAGGGTTGATCCTGTAGATGTGCTCAGTGTAATTGTGCTGCTGGCCGATGAGGTTATATTTTCCATCTGCATTGTCCCCGGACTAAGGGTAGATGTGGAAGAGGAGCCTGCAGATGTACCTGGAACACTTGTTGTGAGGGAGGGAGATGAACTGGGCTGCGTGCTCATGACCATAGGTGACATACTAGGGGTTGTGGCAGAAGTGGTGGTGACACTGAAGGTTCTTTCTGTATTGCGTGAGGTGGGGGATGAAGGGACAGTGGAAATGGGTGATGCCAACGTACTGGAGAAAGTGAATGTAGAGGTGAGGTCACTTACAGTTGTCCATGAGCTAGTGGCGCCCAGTGAGGTGGGGGTGGCAGTTGTCAGTGTTGTGGTTGGGACACGTGTACTAATAGAAGACGGGGTTGTGACTGTGGATGTCAGTCTGGTACCAGAGGTAGGGTGCAAAGGAGTTACTGCAGACGTGGTTGTCCTTCCAGGGGATCGGGTGTTTGAAGAAGAGGTCTCCGAAGTGGTGTATAGCGTTGTGAGGGTGGGTGTTGTTACCATGTCTGAGGTAGAAGTCGTCGCCGTGTGAGGAGCTGAGGGAGTGGGGGAAGTGACTGTGATCGAGGTGGCAGAGGTTGAAGTGTCTGTGGGAATGGTGCTTTCACGTGTAGCCTGGGTGACAGTGGTAGTGGGAGATCTCGGGGTGGATGTGACGTGGCTTGGAGGCAGTGTGGGAAGCAGGGTTGGTGGAGGGGCAGTGATGGTGGTGAAATTGGAGAAAGGTTCTGCGGTTGAGGCAGGTGGAGACGACTGAAGCACACTCGTGGGTGATGTGTCGACATTGGTGGTCGCTGGGGTAGAGGTGGTGGATGTTGGAGAAGACACGACATTCGTGGGTGTGATGGATGACGTGATAGGGGGAGGTGCAGAGGTGCCCGTGGTGGCAGTGTGTGTAACAAGGTCACTGGTGGGCATAAGGGTGATGTTCCCAGTGGTCGTGGCATGAGTGGTTGTGTAGGTCGAAGTGCCTGGGTGTGTGGTGGCTGCACTGGAGGAGGGTGTTCCCGTGGTGGTCGAGGTTGTGACCGTGTGGGTGGTGGTGGGTGCCGGGGTGGTCCTCGTGCTTGTGCCCAGTGTACGTGTGCTGCTTGCAGATGAGGTGCTACCCTCACTCTGCGTGATCCCCGGACTGCTGGCAGACGTGGAAGTGGAGCCTGCAGATGTACCTGGAACACTGGTCGAAAGAGAGGGAGGTGGAGGGGGATGCGTGCTCGTGAGCGTAGGTGACATGCTAGGCGTTGTGCCAGAGGTTGTGCTTGTTTCCGCATTGTGGGAGGTGGGCGATGAAGAGGAGATGAAGGTAGGGGAGGAGGACTTGCTGGAGGCAGTTAATGTGGAGGTGGACTCACTGGTGGTGGTCAAGGGGCCAGTGGTGCCCACCGACGTGGGGATGGTGGTTGTCAGTGTTGTGGTTGGGATACGTGTACTAATAGAAGACGGGGCTGTGACAGTGGATGTCAGTCTGGTTCCAGAGGTAGGGTGCAAAGGTGTTGCTGCAGCCGTGGTTGTGCTTCCTGTAGATCGGGTGTTTGAAGACGTGGTCTCTGAAGTCGTGTATAGTATTGTGAGGGTGGGCATCCTTACCGTGTCTGAGGTAGAAGTCGTCGCCGTGTGAGGAGCTGAGGGAGTGGGGGAAGTGACTGTGATCGAGGTGGCAGGGGTTGAAGTCTCAGTGAGAGTGGAGCTTTCACTTGTGGCCCGGGTGACAGTGCTAGTGGGAGATCTTGGGGTGGATGTGGTGTGGGGCGGATGCGGTGTGGTAAGCAGGGTGGGTGGAGGGTTAGTGATGGTGGTGAAAGTGGGGGCAGGTTCTGTGGTTGAGGCAGGTGGAAATGACTGATGCACACTCGTGGGTGATGTCTGGATGTTGGTTGTTGCTGGGGTAGAGGTGGTGGATGTTGGAGAAGACACGACATTCGTGGGTTTGATGAATGACGTGATAGGGGGAGGTGCAGTGGTGCCTGTGGTG